CAAAGTTTGATGCAAAAACGCATGATCGCACCGGCTCGCCTGGTGCGTTCCAGCCTGGGTTTTTTGCTTGTATGCTAAAAACCTGTCCTCAAGCAACAGATGAAACAGAAAGGAATGCCCCTTCTTCTCTCCTCCCTCCATCCCATTCCCCTCTCCCAACCTTCCTACCACTCCTCCTTTCTTTCTTCCTTTTCCAGACTCTTTGCTCAGTTCAGGATATACCTGCAAATGCAATTTTTTGCATCAATTTTCAGTGGTTCTGAAAGCCCACTTTTTCGAATGTAATAGAAACAATGAATTTTATTTTTCTGAATGGATTATTCAGGTCTATTTCCAAATTATCCAACTCTGCTTCTCCGTTTTGCTATTTTAATTCATATCTAAACTCTATCTAAAAATAATAAATAGCAGCACGGACCACAGTAGCCAATGCGATCATATGTTTTGCGCAATTCTACCCGGCGGGGGTTGATGTTAAGAATATTCACTTTTTTACAATTTGGTATGCATAAAAAATACGAAATATCATGTACTCATGAATGAAACACTGGCATTCAAAAAAAAATTTAAAAATAAATGGAGATGATTTTGCTGAACAAATCTTTTTTTTTTGTTTACAGTACCCAGCCGGCCATTCACTGGAATACACACAGTAAGAAGTAACAGATACCGAAGTAGGCGGTTTTGAACCAAATATTCTGATGCAGCCGCAACTGCTCTATGGGAGCAGTTCCAGTACCATCACCTATTATCGAATGTCAATGTGGATTATCGAGATGGCTTTGATAATTTTACTAATAAGTTTTTTATGGAAAATAACTTGTCTCTTCTGCGAAAAGAAGATGAAATCCAGAGGAGTCCTGAGCTCTTTTTGATGGACGAAACTGGGAAGAGGTGGGGGTGAGAGAAGCTACAGCAGAGGACTGATTCAGGAATAAAAAAGTGCGGAAAAAGTCATAAAATGATGTGGTCACTAATCCGATCCGCCAATTACGTCATCGGGATTCTCCATTTCATGGCCAGTTTTTTCACCCAGCCTAATTTATTGTCGTTGTACGGTGGATATCGAGACCTGCAACAAGGATGTTTGATTAGCCGTCTTGTCCATGGAAATCACATTCAGCAGTTCATAAAAATGTCAAAAAAATCTCAGGAAACAAATTCGCGTTACAAGTTCGCAGCATCCCAGGGACTGAATGAGTTCTTAAGCTTGCTCAACAACAAGCCACTAATTTCAAACTGCCTGGAAGCAGGGTCTGGCATTTCCTTAGAAACTTTAGGATCAGGTGTCACTTATTCTTGCAGTACTTAACATCCACCACATTCATCGCCACCATTTCCCGGTCAGAACTGAAAAAAAATGTCCGTAACGTACCAAAGTATTCTTTCCAATCCAGCAGGTCGATGTAACACAGATTTTTCGTGCGTGAAGCAATCGAACGAGTATTTGCCATGGTACCTGCCAATGCCACTATTACCAATGCCACCGAACGGCAAAGTTTCTACTGAAATGCCAAAAGTACTATTGAGAACCGTGGCCAGCGCAGGGAAAACAACGGGAGCGGTTGCTATATAGCAGATCTCGAGCGCTGCTAACAGATTCACCAAAACAGCGCTGTTCAAACTGGTGTCAATCCATTCATAACTTTTTTTTTTAAAAAAGAACTTAACTTTTGCATTAAACTTTCTAAAAAAGCTGGACTGGAAAGCTCAAAATCAATAGCAGTGGCTATGAAGAACGCAAAATCTGCTGCTGGTACTACAGCTATGCTCGGATAGGAGTTGTTTCGTAGCACACACAGGGTGGTGCAGAGAATCGTGCCTCATTTAAAAAAGTTTTTCAGATTTTGTCAAGCTAATTTCAAGTACTTGCTAAACTAACACATAGCGTGCATAAGTGCATCATTTATAACCATGGCGCCACTCGATGTTTCATTCAAGACGCGATCAATATTAGCTTGATTTGTGCTGCAAAACAATTATTAGAGCAGGAACAACTGACAGAATTATGACTTCCTGGACTGCTGGCGATTAACAAGCTGCATCTCTTATCAACAACAAGTGACTAGTGCATTAATGCATTCATTTTATCCGCAGTATAAATGCAAGTATTTTACGACCGAGCTGCATTTGAAATAAAGAGGTGAGTTTTTTTCTATTTTCTGCTTTTCACGATCCCACTTCCATTTTAAGTCCCTTCATTAATCATGTTTCCATCGTTTATTTTATACCAACAGCCTCCGTTCAGAGGGAGAGGGGATAAACATTTCTGGATACTGGGGCTACATCCGTTCTTCCTATCTTACGATCTGGCAGGAAGAACAGTCTGACAACAACCCCGTCTCATCTATAATAAATGGCAACGCGCACCAGACTAGCCGGTGCGATCATCTGTTTTGTGCAATTCAGCCCACCGAACGATTGGCTATTAATGATTTTCACTGCTTTGTACTTTAGTCTATGCAAAAA